ATAAGGTCCACCCATGCAATGGATACATTAACAGCTTAAGCATGTAAAGGCAACTTCACTTCTTTAATATTAATGAAAAATAAAGTGACTCTTACAATACATCTCCTTGTTTGTTTCTATACTCACTATTAATAGAATCCACTCAAGTTTATTTTATTAAAGATTCCACTCGGTGGCGACAAATTATATTGTTGGATGAAACGTGCTTACGTATGATGACGTAAGCACGTATGATGACGTAAGCACGTTAGGGCGAGCCCTCCCGGAAGTCATAGAGAATGCATTGGAGTGCCCGCCGTTCGAAAAAAAACATCTTTGAATGTAAGTCTATGGGGCCACTCGGGGCGATTCTCAGCCGGAGTGAAATCGCCCAAAAAGAGGCGGTACTCCACAGAACGTGACATGACGCTGATTGGACTATATCCAGAGGCATAGTGACGGCTAGCGTGACTCTGTGGTTGAATGACATTGGTGGTGCGTCGCCCAATCACCCTAATGAAGAAACCGCCCCTGGTCTTGAACCTCACAGAACACCATCTCAGCTCCCTCATGCATTTGTACTAATCCCTGTCCCGGTACTTTTTAATTCCCGCCCCCCGCAAATAGAGCAAGAGTTAAAATCCACACCAGACCCTCGAGAACGCTAGAACTAAAAGGATGTATGAAGTTGTTGGTTTGTGTTGAACCTAGTCATATTTGGGGTAACCGTCTGTGTTGTTGTGTCTGCTCTGCACTGAGACTTTAGTACTCACTGCTTGCTCGCATCAGGACGTCCACGAATGTTGCTGCCCACAAGACATTCATCTACACATCTCAACCAGTGGTTCTTAACCTTGACTGCAACCTCGCACTCCTTTGGTTCTCAATCTTAAAAAAGAAATTATAATGTGAATAAAGACATTGTTTGATGAAACAAAGTAGTTGTAATTCCGTGCCCCGCGCTTAATTTGTGTTTCGATGATTTACCTTCTAAAAATAATGTAGCCACGTCTCGCATTCCCAGAAAGGGCATCTCGCACCCCCGAGGAGTACGTACACCCCAGGGTTAAGAACCACTGCTCTACATCAACTCAAACCTCCTGCAAATCACGTGACTTCTTTGTAGCCACTCCCACTTTGAATCCCCTCTCCACGCCGCCCACTGTGAAAACAAACGCTGCTCATCCATGCAGCAGCAGCGTCGAGGCCCTGATGCAGCTTCTTCCTCTCGATCCTCTTTCCTCCTGACCCTATGTTCCCATTTCCATCGTTCCTTTTCCATCCTTTCCCCATTATTTCCCATTCTTAATCTTCTCTTTTGCATTTACCGTTCATTGTTCGAGCATCATATCCTTGACTCTCTTCCTCTTTCCGTGGTGAGCCATGGCTAAAACGTTGCCAAGAAAGACTCAAATGTTTCACACTGGCTGTTCCCTAATGATTCTAATCGGTTTGTTTGTTGTATATGTATTTCCTGTGCACATCATTGAATTGCAATTTGCTGTCGTTTAAATAATTCACCCCTAGATTTAACTGAAATGCGAAGTGCAACATAATTTACATGGCTATCATTCATATTGGTGATCTTTATGAGCCGAACTGCTGCCAGGCATTACTTAGCACGTGTATGATGATGATCATCATCATAATTATGCTAAGTCATGTTTGATATATTGATGATCATCATCATGCTGTTATGTATCGTATTCTCTGGTATATAAGAAACTCCGAAAAATGAGTCTCACCCAAAAACTTGTGCCCCGCGTCAATAAAGCTGAACAAATTTTATAACACACACACAGTTAACAAATTATATAATGCAGTCTCAACTCTTGTTTTTAAATACATGAGTCAAAAAGTGCATCATAATCCGGGGACAACAATAATATTAATATTTGTTGCGTACCTTAGTCTTTGCAACCCATATGTGTGCGCGTGCGTGTATGTCTGAAGCAAGGCCACATCATGGGTCACAATGGAAATATCAGCTTCTACATAAATGCTTCGGGTTCAGGGGGGGGGGGGGGGGCTGTGAGATCAATTTCAGACTAATTTTATTCTTACGGTCGGTCGGAGTAACCGCTTAAACAAATATTTTCCAACCTGCGCCCGGGGTTGACAACCACGCTTCATGTGCTCCCTCACCCATGGCCTCCCGCCTCTCTGCCCAGAGCAGTCGGGGACCTGAATCTTTTCTTTTCCAGGGCAACCCATTCCATCACCAGCAGCAGCAGCAGCAGCGGCATGGCTGGGTTTTAAACAGTGCAATCAACATTCCTAATAACAAACATCACTTAATTTGTAATATTCCAGCTCTGGGAATTAAAGGCTATATTTAATTTTTTTTCTAATTGCTGCCACTAATGTCACGATTACTACACCAGAACCTGCGTTCCAGACAGACGTCGTCGGCTCGATCTCCTGGAGCGGCAATTGCAACAGCGGGCAAGCGTCTTAAATTCCCCACCTCTGTACACCCAGCCTGGGCTGGACAGCTGTGAAAAACAACTTCGTGGACATTCCAACTCGCATCGAATGTCTACTCGTGCGAATGGGCACGCCGCGGTCGAGTGCGGTGGGGTAAAGTGTGGGTTATCCCGCCTCTTTCAAAACGTATGACCAGTGTGGAAGAGTAGGCCAAATTTCCTCTAGAAAGAATCTCTAGAGCTCTCTTTTGCGGAGGCCCTTCTTGCAGCATTGGCGTGAGCAAGACATTGCAGGGTGCGCCTTTACCTTAGCTTACTTGAAAAAATAATTGTCGAAGAAATATTTATTGTATGTTGAACTTATTTCGCACCATACGTAGCCAATTGTGCCAATCGGAGGCGCAGGTTGAATAAATATTGATCTTCGAGATGTGTTTTTTTTTGTAAAATGTATTTCGTGTGAATGGTATTCACAAGAATTGCCCACCGGTATAATGGCCAAACCACATCGCATTGTCTGTTGGTGAGGGGTACGTGGTCACATTCTCCAAAACGTGGATTGCTCTGAAATCTTGAGATGGTTATCAAAGCTTGGAATGCGTGCACTATTGATGTCTCCGTGTGCACTTTTGCTTTAGATGTAAATAAAACAAACAAAAAAATACATGAATTTGGGAGCAAAACAAATTCCACACCATCGATGTCATCTTTTAAAATCTAAGTTCCCACACTTCGCTTGACCTTAAACACCGAAGCTGTACTCTGCTCCAAACATACTCGGGGGGAATATGCCACAGACAGCTTCAAAAAACAACTCGGGTGTGTAAGGAGCATGTAGGTGTTTAATTCCATCGCCGAAAAAATGTCAAAGGCGGCTCGTCATTAGCGGCGCACAACACCGCGTGAGTGATTGTCCTTTAGAAATCCTACACACGCGTAGTCAAAACATTTTGAGAACATGGTGCTCACTCAAGGGTCGTACCGACTTCTTTGAAGAAGAAAAAAATGGGGCTGCACATGTCCACGGATATCTCATATTCAACGAAGACTGTGTCTTGACATTAACGACCTTCAAAAAGGTCGATGGTTTAGAACAGGGGTCGGGAACCTTTTTGACTGGAAGAGCCATAAAAGCCAAATATTTCTAAATATATTGCATTGAGAGCCATATAGTATTTTTAACGTATAATAAATTAAATATGTCTTACTTTTAATGCGACTTCTGGTGCTGCATGGTTTTGCTGATGGCCTTGTAGTCTGGTTCGTACGTGGTGAGGTTGAGCTTCATGCAGGCGTTGAGGCCCCGTGACCCGTGAAATGTATCTTCAAAACTAATTTCTGTTTACTTTAAAATGACACAGTATTATTAAGCAATATCACAAGTATTTTAAAATCAGTTCCAAACTGATTTTTTTAAAAAAAATTTTCAACTCAAAATTGTCTGGGAACCATATGCCGTCACCAGAAGAGCCATATATGGCTCGCGAGCCATAGGTTCCCGACCGCTGGTCTAGAACATCAATCATTGCTTGTAATTCCCCTTCACACCCAACAAACAATATTGAATTTCGATTTAAAGCTTTCGTGACTGCAGGGATTCATCTTCTTGGTTCTTTCGGTAAAGTCACGTAGAAGGGAAGTAATAAAATAATAAAAATAAAACATAATAAAACAATTCTCACGACGTTTCGGCCACAACGCAAGCAGCCGTCCTCAGGTGAAAACCAGGTCCGTCGAGGCGACAGAGTCTGAATGAAACAGCACACGGGCTTAGAGCATATATATAAGCTGGGCGCATTGACAAAGGAATTTGCATATCAACAGGAATTTAGCATATTTATGGGAAATGCAGGAATGTAATTAGTACTGCATATGCATGTGCATTATGCAGGATTAACAGCATCAAAGGGAGCTGCAGTTACTGCTGCTGCAGCAGTTGCTGCTGCTGCTGCAGTTTCTGCTGCTGCTGCAGTTGCTGCTGCTGCTGCAGTTGCTGCTGCTGCTGCACTTGCTGCTGCTGCTGCACTTGCTGCTACTGCAGCAGCAGCAAGTGCAGCAGCAGCAGCAAGTGCAGCAGCAGCAGCAACTGCAGCAGCAGCAGCAACTGCAGCAGCAGCAGAAACTGCAGCAGCAGCAGCTGCAGTAGCAGCAAGTGCAGCAGCAGCAAGTGCAGCAGCAGCAGCAAGTGCAGCAGCAGCAGCAACTGCAGCAGCAGCAGCAACTGCAGCAGCAGCAGAAACTGCAGCAGCAGCAGCAACTGCTGCAGCAGCAGTAACTGCAGCTCCCTTTGATGCTGTTAATCCTGCATAATGCACATGCATATGCAGTACTAATTACATTCCTGCATTTCCCATAAATATGCTAAATTCCTGTTGATATGCAAATTCCTTTGTCAATGCGCCCAGCTTATATATATGCTCTAAGCCCGTGTGCTGTTTCATTCAGACTCTGTCGCCTCGACGGACCTGGTTTTCACCTGAGGACGGCTGCTTGCGTTGTGGCCGAAACGTCGTGAGAATTGTTTTATTATGTTTTATTTTTATTATTTTATTACTTCCCTTCTACGTGACTTTACCGAAAGAACCAAGAAAAAAACAATATTGAATTTGCACACGTTTCAGAACACGATTGGTAACCCCCGTCATCAAATCATTTTGACCGCCCGCCCTTGTAAAATACGGCTGATATACAAAGATAAATAAGATAAATAAGTTGTCCCAAGCACAGCCTTTCAGCTGCCGATTCCATGCCCAGCCTTGGCTGTTTACATCGTCATCCCCGTTCGAGTAGCTCTCCCCAGCCTTTCAGGCATCTCCACTTGTTACCCGCTGGTCCCCTGCATTCGTTAAGGCCGCCACTCGCTCCGTGTTTTGCCTCCAGCGTGCGTCATTTCGGCGGCCCGTGACGTCGGTGTCAAGGCCGTAGGTTCGGTGGCCTAAACAAAATATAATCCGCTGAGAGTGAACACCGAGAGAGGCGCTGTCAAAGTGGGTTACGCGCGGCCACGTGGCCACGTCCAGTGGGAATTGGAGGTCATGTGTTGCAACAAAGTGGGCGAGCCACTGAACTAAACTAGTTTTATTTTACCAGGTGAGGCCCACTGAGCTAAATCGCTCTTTTTCAGAAGCGACCTGGCCACAAATGCCAGCTCGACGAAGAGGCTTGTCACGTGGACATTGATGGCAGCCAAATACTCTGCAACAGGCTCACAATGGTGGTGGAGCGATGAGCCTAGCTCATGCACAGGAGCGTGGTGATTCGTAGTGTGAGGAGTCCTTCGTTCAGCAGTGGATAGATAATGGCTGACGGTGGTTAAGGATAACCCAGTTGACAAGATACACAACTGCTATCAATAGACAGACACACATTTGTGGAATATCATATGTTGTATATTGCAGATAAGGTGACCTTTAAGTTCAAATCCAGACTTTGGTGAAAGGTTTAAAAGAGTTGCAAACAAGATAGAAACGTCATGGGGCCTTCTTTGTCAGTACCAAAATAAGATAATAGGTTTACCCCTTTTTTCTGGCAACAAACAGATGTTAAGATGTTAAAACACCAAACTGAAACCTTTATTCAAAGAATCATGTCTGCATTAATCACAATACTTGTGGTCAGAATGCAAACAAAAAACATACTCTGATGATATATGCATTGTCGTTGAAACTGATTTGTTCACACTAGAGACAGCTTTATTTTGAGCCTCGTCTCACAACGGTGTTAGACCAGAGGACGCCTTTTGGCCTATTGGCGTCCTCTGGTCTAACACCGTTTTGAGACTAGGCTCAGAGCAATGGACTTCTTTTCAAACGGAAAGAAAACGTTGCCTCTCAATTCGTGCCAAGAATTGATGTGACCGAGCCGGTAACATTCAATGAGATAGTTTGAAGTTAAACAATTTAGGAATAGTCGTGGATGCGCATGGACTATCTAAAGCTTTCCGACGTGTGTTTATCTTTAGAAGTATTCAATTTGCAATAAGACAGCCGACGGCAATCGGTCTCGTGCAAAAAACTTGTTTTCATATTTTGTGCTGGATCAAATGGGGCCGCTTTTTAATCGGGAAAATACATGGATAGCAACACAACTTTATACTAAATGTTTCTCACATTGGATCATCTTTATAGGTGCTGTCGTGCCACCCTATTTACGGACAAATGGACAGTTAAGGCAGAACATTTGTCAACCTCCTTGTTGGAGACCATTCATAAAAAAAAAGGTTTTTAAATATTAAACAAAAAAAATAGATAGTTTTCAAACACAGCAGAAGTACAGCACAAATGGAAATTGCTAGCTTTGGACTTCAATTATTTCAGCCAGGCATCTTATAGCTATGCAGCAATGCAGTCTTAATGAAGGCCCATTTCCTGAGTTCCTACTGTGCACACAGGCACTGGTGATAAAGACATCATTGGCCAATCACATTGATATTGTATAATTCATTATTACTCCACTCCAATATTAGTCTGGCACGTGGTGAGTGAATTTCCCAGAGACAATCACAGAAGTCACCATCGGAGGCAATTCCGTCCTCAACTGAAATCTCAGGCTGATAATTTCCACTTTTGTTGCGGCTGTAAACTTGTTGAAGACGTGTGCGTGTGTGTGTGCGTGCGTGTCCACACCTGAGCAAGGGGTTTCAATTTTAATTACATCTTTCTTGCACTCTATTGGCTCAACATAAGTAACTTTTTGCACTTTTGGCTCACCAAATTGGACAACGTTGTGCAATTATTTCTCAGCGTATGCTAGGAATATCAAACAACGATCTCGTGAACATTTGGAACAACCAGGAAATTGTTATACCTCTGCTGCCCTTAAATGCAGTGACCGTTGAGTCAGTGACGGCCCTCTCTTCACCGACCAACCGAATTTCGGTAAAAGTCCGGGTCAGAATGTCCTCACCTGCATCAACAGCCCCGGGTCAGTGGTGGAAACTCCACATTTCTATGGCCAGGGCCATAAGTTCAAGCACCGTTGGCTTGATAACAGCGGTACGTATTTTCTCAACCCTGCATTGATTACGATGAATGGTTGAGTCGGCCTCCCCGGCCGGGATCCGAGCTCACATCCCACCCGCTTGCGAGTCGAGCGCTCCAACAGCTGCAACGGCACACGGCCGCATTTCGACACCAGCAGCTGCAATGGCCTCCTAAACACGGTCATCTTTTTTCTTGTCGTTCTCTCGCGACGTCACCCAAAGCGAAATTTGGGCCAGTACCTCGGTGCGCTCTCCGCGGCCTTCCTTTGCACCTTGACGGCCGGCGGCGCCGATCGGGCCGTCGTCTGCTTGGGCACGGCCACCGATGCCGGCGCCTTCTTGCCGACGAAGCGAAACGTCTTATCGCCGGCGACGGCCGCGGCGTCGGAGGCACGAGCGGAATCGTCCGTCGTGCCGCTGAAGAGCGGCAAGAAGTGCGTCGAGACGTGGTTGGGTCCCAGACGGGGGCTGTTGCCGCGTCGCAGGAGGCCGCGCTTGTTCAGGGCCAGGTACCAGGCGCTGGCGTGCGGCGCTGGTGTGATGGGGTGGGCGGCCGAGGAGTATGTGTTGTAGCTGTTCTCCTGGTAGGTCTCGCGGAACCTGCACTCGTTGTTGAACTTTGCCTTGGTCGCACGGAGGGGGCATGGACGAGGATTAGCGGTGAGCCGGGTAGAAGGAGCGGCAGCAGCGGCGGTGGCAACGGCAGCGGTTGCGGGCAAAGTGGTGTCAGCGCAGCGACAGCAGAAGTAGCAGCAGTCGTGGTGTCAGCAGCAGCAGCAGCAGGAGTACCAATGGCACCAGTAGCAGCATAATCAGAAGCGGCAATAGTATCAATCGCAGTGTAATCAGCAGGAGTAACGGATGTATTAGTATCAGCAACGACAGATGGAGAATACGCATTGATATCAGCAGAAGCAACACTATGAATTAAAAATCATCAGAGCGGTGATTCAAATAAATTGTGTGGCATTGTTGTAGGAACAGAGTAATTGCGTCACGACAGAGTTTGGTGTTCAAAATTAAACACATGTTGTGGCTTGTACAGCTACAAGACGAGTCAACTTTCCAAATATTTCATGGGTCCAGGCCAGATTAAAATAATCAAGTAAATGCCGTTATTAACTCAGGAAACCTTCTCTGAGTCTTGTGGCAGATTAACGTATAAATTGTATGATTTTCTTACATTGTAATAATAGATTCTTGGGCGCACCATTCGATATGGCTGCAATCATAAGAATCAGAAGAGAGTTGGAACTGAAAAATCAACGAATCGTTACATGGCATCTATCGTTATATATATAAAAACAATTATACCACGAACTTTTTTTTGCAAAAGCTATGTATTTGCTGTTTGAACACCACTCACACTTTGGACGTATGCATGGTGAACTTCTTTCGCGCCGTGCTTAGGGCACAAAAGTGGCACCGTGATCGCCACTTTTGTGTGCGGCAGTGTAGCGATTAGCTTACTGCGCTACGAAACCCGGTGACCCGAGTTCGATTCCCGCTCACGGCCAACACCAGTGTCGATTTTTTGAACCGGTTCCTGGATCCCCCTTGGTCGACTCAGCCTCAAATGAGTACCTGGGACGGTGTGAAAACATCGCTACTGGGAAGACAAAAGGCGGCCGGACGTGGTGCTGGCCACACACCCCCTCGTGTGCCCTTCAGTCTTTCATAAGTGCTCGCTAACAGCACTTGCAGCAAATCTGTTAAGGTTATATGGGGGATCTTTGTCTTTGCCACGGTAAGCACGCTGTGCTGCGAACCCGGTCACCCAAGTTCGATTCCCGTTCACGGCCAACGCCAGTGACAATGATCTTAACCGGTCCTGGGCCTCCCCTAGGTCGTCTCAGCCTAAAATGTGTACATGGTGTGGTGTGTAAACATCGGCACTGGGGAGACAAAGGCGGCCGGGTATTGTATTTTTTACCCACCCACTCATGTGCCGTGCCCGCCTTCACAGGTGCTGCTCGCTAACAGCACTTGCCGCAGCAGTCTGTTCAGGCTATACGGGGGAACTTTGTCTTTGTGCGTGCGTGCGTGCGTATGGACGAGATCTTACAGAGGCGTAGATTTTCCCCTTGTAGTTCATGGCCAGGAATCGATTGCTGTAGGTTCCCCTGATGACCACGATGCCCGGCGAGAGGGCGAATATCTCCAGCATACCTGCAAACCGACGTCACACATCGCCAGCGGGTTGGTCTCTCACTCGGCGGTGGCTGGGGGTTAGGGCCATCAAGTTAAACGAACAACATTTCATTGTCTCTATGGGTCCTTTTAACCGGTATCAAAATTATGAACAAATGAAGAATGTGAAAATTATCAATAATAGTCGGTCGACCGCTTGTGTTGCGATCAAAACGTCGTAATTTATTTTATTTTATACCTACGTGACTTTACCGATAGAACCAAAGAGTATGTTAGCAGATGTTCAAACTGACCTCCATTAACATTAATGTGTACCGTGAATTATCTTTTGAAATAAATTTCGGACTTTTTTGTGGTCTCAAAACCGCTTTGAGTGTTTAGTTAAGTCGTCCTTGCCCCGCACCTCCAATCAGCGTCGTTGGCTACGTACGGTGCGAAAGAAGTTCAACATACACACATTCAGGGTTCTTGGTCGACTTTTTTTTTAAATAACAGATTCCAGGTGACCCCCACAGGAAGAAGAAAAAAAATAGATATTAACAATGCGGTAAAATCATTAACATTGTTTTAATGCCGGTGTTAAAATAAATGAAATAACCTGATGCGTCCTGACACTGGCCCACACTGCGCTTAAGTCGGGTCCACAGCTGAGCGATCAGCTGAGCAACCAATTCGCTGTCAAAGTCATCGCGCAACTGGTTGCAGCGACGTCCGCGTGCCAACTTGCGGCTAGCTTGCAACCGCAAGTCGAAAGCAACTGGTCGCGGCAGTTGTAAAAACATCGCCTTTACTTTCACAGGAACACTGCTACGCACCCCGTGTGTTTAGCCGAGCAAAGAAATTGGAGGGCGTTAAACATGCTTGACACGATGACTTTAACACTATGTAACGCATCCTATATGTGCAGGTACAGCCCTGTTGTCAATCCACTGCTGGATGAGGGCCTGCCCGGACCTCTGCGCGGGTCACGGGGTTTTTTTCGGCGCATCACCACGCTGCACAGTGCGGCTTGGTAATGTGGTGGGGTGGGGAGCATAGAGGTACAGCGCAACAAACTGATCTTGCTGCCATCTCTGTTGCCCACAACATAGCCCAAAGTGTCCGATGACAACCTGTTTGTGCATGGTGGTCGCACAATCAACGACTATCCAGGCTCAAACCCTACCTATCTCCCAACACGTGACGAGATTTTGCATATTCAGGTTTACGTGATCATCGGCAATTTTTTAAAATCAGGATTTATGTCTTGAAAATGTCCATAGGACCTGAAATGGTCACTATTTTTCAGCAGGCACCCTTTATAGTGAAGTGTGTAACTCAAAATAATAATAATCGTCGTTGTGGAGAATATAAATAACACGATAGATAAGCAGACAATGTTTCCGTCATATATCTGTCTCTCCACATGAAATATATATAAACCGTGTTTTTACACATCTCATCGGTACCCTGCGGCTTTCTGGGGGTACGTAATTCCATCGGCATGGTCAACACAAGCCAACTCCGGCACGGCTTCGATACGCTGCACGATCGGCACCAGGGGTGTGGCGGTCGAGTGTGCAGGCGGTGCAGCTGCACAGAAGGGCCTGTGGGCCGGCTTGCCTTTGGCAAAATTACGTATGTTCTGTATTTTAAACTTATTTCGCAGCGTACGTAGCCAACCGTGCTAACCGGAGGTGTATTCACAGCGCAGGTTCGTGGAGCCAAATCAATGTTTAGGGGACCTTTTTTGACAGTATCAAAGCATAAAAAAGAATAATAGGTTTTACTCTTTCTGGCAATGAAATATGTGTTAAGATGTACCTTGCAAAAGTTAACTATTTGGTGGTTGAACATCTTAACACCTATTTTATTGCCACCTGTTCATATTTTTCATACAAATCAATGTCGCCTTCTCTCCGAGTTGCATCAGAATCTGTATTTATACTGGAGGAATCCGATGAGCTATGAAGTTCTTTTTGACAGATGTCCAGAGTTATAGCGAGCGTGTGGCTGACTTTCCGTGTCCGTCTGCGCAGTTTTAAAAGCCCGCGTTCCGTTTTGTCAACGACCACGCTTCAAGTCCATACATCATAGCTGACAAATATATTTACTTAAATCAATTTAACTATATACACATATTATACGTATTTGTTTTCTCTGCTAATATGCCGCCTTCGCTTGCCTCACAGCCCGAAAGACTCTTTAGAAACACAGTAAACGCACACGTGTTTTAGTTAGTAGGTGTATTTATATAATGTGTGCACGTGTATTAACAATTCATAATTCTTTTTTGCCATTGTCAATCCACTGCTGGACAAAGGCCTTGCCACTCCATGTTGGTCACGGCAATTGTTTGACCATACTTCACCATATGCTGGTAAGTTTGGGTTGGTGAAGCGGTGGGCAAACGAGGGGTGGGGAGATGCCCGGATTGGTTAAGTTATCACTCGCCACTGATGTTAGCTATGGCCAGTGCCTGATGATCCCAGTAGCACAAGTAGCTACAAATGCTACGGGCCCCGCACTTTCAAGGGCCCCGCGCTAAATGCTTTCAAGCTATAAATTCCGGTTCAGTGGTTCTGCACTTGCTCTATTACTATAGTACTATACTGCCTTCAACTTTTATGAACGACTGGGTGTTTAAGGTTAGCGATTTGTTGTATTATCTGGCTGTATAGCAAATTTTAAAAATACAATTGCTTTACTATTCAAGTAAAAAAATTGTCTTTTCATATTTACGTGTTTTTTTTTAATTAGAGCCTCTTTATAACTTTTGCTACAGGCCCCGCACTAGCTTAATCCGGCACTGGCCATGGCCGTGCATATAACCCATCTTGTCCAGCTCATAGCGCGGTGTGTAGTTGATAATAACAACGATCGCCGCCATTCGCCACGAAGTGGCGGTGACGTCCCCACGGCGCGTTGTGCCAGGCTAGGTGCACTTTGAGGCCACGTGAAGTGTGGAAGCCTCGCTGGCAGGAGGTCAGGGACAGACCCAGCAGGTGCCATTGGTTGACTTGACTGAGATTACTGGCAGATGCACCAGCTGTGCCCCCTACTGTGCCAACTTGCTGCATGTTAACCACCCGGTGATCTGCTCGTTGTTGTGAACGTCGCTCCTCTGCCCGCCGTTGTCGGATGGCGACTGCTTCCAACTGCCCAGTCGCGTCCTTCACGAGCCTCCTGCATAGGGAGGGCTGGTAACCCCTCCACCTGGCACTTTTTAGACCAAGCACTATGGTGGAAACCAAGGCCGTAATGATAGTATATATTGGGGGGGACATATTCCCCCCAATATTCAAATATGCTCAAAATGTCCCCCCCAATATATTGCTATAAAATAGATTCATGTTTATATGATTGTGGTTATGGTTGTACTTTATGAATCCCTAATCTCTGCCATTACATACAATGAAATAAGAAAAGGTAAAAAAGAAAAAAACATAGCAATGTGATACAATACACTATTAGACATTATTGTAAAAAAAATAATAATAAAGTCCATCCCATGTGTTAGTGAATTTTAGAAAAATTTTAGGCAGAAAATTCGTTTTCAAATTTAGATTTTTTTCTGGGGGGGACCCCCGGACCCCCTGGAAGATGTGGTCCTCCTCAATGTTGACTCCATGGCTACGGCCTTGATGGAAACCCCGAAGTAAGTTGATAAACACGCGCATGCACGCGTGGCAGAATGAAGATCGCATCACACGAGTCTCATCCCCCCCAACCCCACGCACGAAAGGCGTCGTTGGCCTTCAGGACGCGCTGACCGGCGTGGCGAAGCATGGCCAAATATCCCCCACGACCAGCACGGCGTGCGGAGGCCCTCATCCTGCAACGGACCTGACGAAAGGGCTGCATGCGCGTACACAGCAACGCATTGCCATCGAGTATTCGCCTCGATAGTACGAGGTGTGATAATTGTTTTTTTACCCTTCTATCTGGCAACAAAACTGACACCTTTTTTTACAAGGAGTCATGTTTGCATAGACCACATTACCTGCAGCCATAATGCAAACAAAAAACACAACTCTGATAATGTATGCACTGTCCTTGAAGTTGCATATATTATCATAGTTATGTTTTTTGTTTGCATTATGGCTGCAGGTATTGTGGTCTATGCAAACATGACTCCTTGTAAAAAAAGGTGTCAGTTTTGTTACCAGATTGAAGGGTAAAAAACCAATTATCATATTTTTTACAGGCAAATGATGTTCCAATGGTGTAAAGTACGAGGTGTGTTTAAGGCGACATGAACACGCGTTAACAGGTGGACAGCGCTGCGGGTCTCCAAAACCCAGAACTCCCACGAAACCTCTCCCGAAGTTGCCCTCTCGCCGTGGCTCCTGATCGTCTTACGCAAGGAGGGAATAGAAATTCGACGGAATGCACGTGACGTCAAGAGCGCGGCAGCTCACGCGGTATCGTGAAGGGGGTTAAGCCCGTGTTACGGGACTTAGGCAGAAACGTCGCGAGGGGGGTGTGATGTGACGGGGGGGGGGGGTGCTTACGCATCGCGCCTCTTATCGCGTCTGCGCAAAACGCTTTTAAGATAATTCCCATTCGCCTCCGAGCATCGTTATGCTCATGCCGCGGCTCTGCCCGACGCCGTTGATATCCTTGCGACCGTCAAATATGCTCAGGAGCTGGACGGCAAGTGATGTCGAGGTCTGCCAGTCGGGGCGAGAGGGCTTCGGGAAGCAGCGTTCGCGTGGTCATTCCTCCTCCGCCAGTGTTACACAACAGTGTTAGACCAATATTACACCGGTGTTTTACACCAGTGTAACACCAATATTACACTGGTGTTTTACACCATTGTTAGACCAATATTACACCGGTGTTTTACACCAGTGTAACACCAATATTACACTGGTGTTTTACACCATTGTTAGACCAATATTACACCAGTGTTTTACACCAGTGTAACACCAATATTACACTGGTGTTTTACACCATTGTTAGACCAATATTACACCGGTGTTTTACACCGGTGTTACACCAATATTACACTGGTGTTTTACACCATTGTTAGACCA